AACCAACAGAACCACCGAACCGCGTAGACGTGTCTTTTTGCTCGCCCTGCTGAAAGACTTCCAAAAATCTACAAAGTGACCACCAAAACTAAGAAAAATAGCGAAAAGACGCTGGCAGCAATGCCATATCCCAAGGTCAACATCTCCTTGTGATTAAAACTAAATTTAAAACCGATCTAGCTAATCAAATCAATTAAAAATGTCGAACGCAAATAAAATATTAGCAAGTGCAACCGGTAAAGCCACGAAGCCAAGTCGCGATCGGCAACAAATACAACTAGACGAACGACGGCTGTCTTCTGCACGGAACAATGCTTACATTTCAATTGACTCATCGGAGGCAACAACAAAATTAACGTCACTGACCGCTACCGAAAGAGCCCGCTCACTGTCACCAGCGATTTTATGCTCAAGCAGCGCTGCCGTTACTCAGTCGTGGAGTTCACAATGCCCGTCACCTCTCTCTCTATCGATGCACCGACTACTTCGGCTTGTGCGCCCACCAGCACTGTACCCTCTCTTACTACAGCAACGTCAACGACAACAACAACTTTAACGTCTGCGGCTACCCAGTGGCCTATCTCAACACCACAAGTAAAACTTTGCTCTACTGACCCTCTTACGAATAACACTCTCGTACAGACGGGGATCGATCGGTATGTACAAATAAAAAGAAAGCTTAGTCCACAAAAAAACGCAAACTCAAATTGGCCAAAAGTACCAAAAACTTTAGGCAACACACGAACATCCGAAAACAGATTTGCCATACTTGGCGAGACCGAAGAAGACAAGGGTCAGGCGCCTCAAGTCATGAAAGCTGTAAAGCCACCGCCAATATATATTAGGAAACACAACAGTGTCGATCTGATTAATAAGCTTAAACAAGTAATCGGGCCTAACCACTTCTATATCAATACCCTAAAAAGAGGAAACATATTAGAAACAAAACTCCAGGTTAACAACGAAGACAACTTCCGTTCTGTAACAAGATATCTTGACAATGAGCTTATAAATTACTACACTTACCAACTAAAAAGTAAGAAAGGCCTACAAGTTGTACTTAAAGGTATAGAATCGACTGTTGCGGTAGCAGAAATAGCTGAAGGCCTCACTGAAAATGGCTTCGACGTTAAGCACATCGTAAACATAGTGAACAGGGATAAAATTCCCCAACCACTGTTTAAGATTGAGTTGGCCCCAGAGACGAAACCTCTAAAGAAAAATGCAGTGCATCCTATTTACAATCTGCAATATCTCCTTCACCGAAGAATCACCGTAGAGGAACCGCATAAGCGGAACGGCCCCGTACAGTGTACAAACTGCCAGGAGTTCGGGCATACAAGAACCTACTGCACCCTGCGTCCAGTTTGTGTCGCCTGTGGAGACTTGCATTGCATTGAAGCATGCCTGGGAAACAAAGAAGACCCTACTCTGAGGAAATGCAGTAATTGTGGGGAAATCATACTGCCAACTACCGGGGCTGTCCCGTCTACAAAGAACTCAAGAGCCGCCTAAATCAGAGACGCAGTAACCCACTCGCGGCTCAACACTCTGCTCAACCAAACATCTTCACCCCATCAACAACCACTCCTGGTGTCTCCTTTGCCAACGCACTCCGCTACCCTGGAATCTCACAAACATCTACCGCCCAACCTGCAGCATTGCGTCCACAGCCACCCATATCAAACCTAAATGATTTCCCGCTCTTAAGCCAAAATGGCCAAACAACAAGTCAACCTTCTACGCAGCAAAACCAAACTCTTCCCCCACAAACACTTAGCGGTCTAGAATCTACACTAGCTACTCTTGCAAACGTCATGATGACGATTCAAAGTTCCCTTCAAGAACTACTGCGAAACCAGAGCCTTCTAATGGAACTGCTGATCAAACAAAAGTCTGTATAAATGGACTCCTTAAGAATATGCTTCTGGAACGCAAACGGCGTTTCCCGGCACAAAAACGAACTCCTACAGTTCCTAAACAGCCACAATATCGATATCATGCTACTTTCTGAAACCCATCTAACTAATAAAAACTACTTCCATATCATCGGATATATATTCCACGCGACCAACCACCCGGACGGTAAAGCACACGGAGGTACCGGTATACTCATAAAACAACGCATAAAACATCATCCCTTGGAGACATTCGCTACTAACTACCTGCAGGCCACATCCCTACGTATAAACCTAATTGGCGGCCCACTTACCCTATCCGCCATATATTGCCCTCCACGTTTCAGTATTGCAGAAAATGAGTTTATGAATTTCTACAACTCACTAGGACGCTGCTTTATAGCTGCCGGTGATTATAACGCAAAGCATCCCCACTGGGGATCTCGTCTTATCAACCCCAAAGGCCGCCAATTATACAACGCTATTATCACTCCTGGTAATGCGCTTGACTTTGTCTCACCAGCTAGGCCTACATACTGGCCCACAGATCCAAATAAACAACCTGACATTATCGATTTCGCTGTTATTAGAAGAGTCTCGCACAGGCTGATAAACATAAAAACCTTAGAAGAGCTTACATCGGACCATTCGCCAGTTCTCCTCTGTCTATCTGAACAGCCGCAGCTTCTGGAACGCCCCCAACATCTAACATCAAACAAAACAAACTGGCTGAAGTACAAAAAATATGTAAGTGCACACATCGAACTTGATCCTGAAATTTCCTCTGAATCTGACATTGACAAGTCGCTTAAACACCTCACGGACGTAATGTCCTCTGCCGCCAAACATTCTACGCCAGAACCCTCATCCACAAACCCGCTAAGAACTGGACGCTCAAGTATCCAGATCGAGTCTCTCCTACTTGAAAAACGTAGACTTCGCAGAGACTGGCAGACTCATCGGTCCCCAGCTACTAAGAAAAGACTTAATGAAGCATCTCGAAAATTGTCGAAGGCCCTCTCTACCGAAAAGAACCAGGCCCAACGGGCCTACATTGCGAAACTATCCCCGACGGGTAATAAATTCCCACTATGGAGAGCGCACCCAAACATGCAGCCACCAATAGATCCCGATTGGCCAATTCGATCACAAACAGGTGCCTGGGCGCGCAGTGACGAAGAAAGGGCTAACACCTTTGCCCATCACTTGGAAAACGTCTTCAAGCCCCACCCGCCATCCAACCAATTCACTCTACCGAATGTCTCGCTAGCGTCGCCGTCCTCCCCAGTTACCCTTGAAACCAGCACAATACTTAAAGCTATTAAAGAACACATAAACCCAAAAAAGGCTCCTGGTCACGATTTTATTTCTCCAAAAATGATAATTGAATTACCTGCATGCGCAGTCAGATGCATCGCATTTATATTTAACTCAATATTGAAATGGGGCTACTTTCCTGACCAATGGAAAAAGTCTGTCATTACAATGATCCCGAAGCCAGGAAAAGACAAATCCCAGCCTTCCTCGTACCGGCCCATCAGTCTGCTCCCATGTCTATCAAAGCTATTTGAAAAACTGCTTCTTGTTCATCTAGTAACACATCTTCAAAACAACAGAACGATCCCTCTGCACCAATTCGGATTTAGGGAAAAGCATGGAACTATCGAACAGGTAAACCGCTTAACATCTGAAATTCGCACGGCTTTCGAACACAAGCAATATTGCAGTGCCTTATTTCTGGACGTATCACAGGCATTTGATCGCGTCTGGATCGACGGTCTGGTATACAAAATCAAAACCCTCCTACCGGAAAACACTCACAAGTTGCTTGAGTCATACCTCAGAAACAGAGTTTTCACCGTGAGATGTAAAACCTTTACTTCAACCATCCGTAACATCGAAGCTGGAGTACCCCAAGGAAGTGTGCTTGGACCAATCTTGTACATCCTTTACACGGCAGACATTCCAACAAGCCGCCAGACCCTCATCTCAACCTTTGCTGACGACACTGCCATTGTCAGCCGCTCGAAATGCCCAAAAACAGCTACAGCCCATTTAAAAGAACACCTGGTAGCTGTAGAAAAATGGCTCGCAGACTGGCGTATCAAAGTCAATGAGCAAAAGTGTAAGCACATTACATTTACACTAAACTTGTCGATATGCCCACCACTGACGCTAAACAACAAGCCGGTTCCACAAGCAGACGAAGTCACCTATCTCGGCATACACCTAGACAGGAGGCTTACCTGGAGAAAGCATATAGAAGCAAAGAAGACCCATTTAAAACTAAAGGCCAGCAGCCTTCACTGGCTCATGAACTACCGCTCCCCCTTCCACTCGAATATAAAGTACTACTGTATAACTCGTGCTTAAAGCCGATCTGGACCTACGGTTCCGAGCTCTGGGGAAACGCAAGCAGCAGCAATATAGAAATTATTCAAAGAGTACAATCAAAGACCCTACGAACAATAACTGGAGCCCCCTGGTACATCCGCAATGCAAACATCCAGAGAGACCTGGATATAAATCCCGTAAAAGAAGAAATTGTTTCCAGAAAAATTAAATATGAAGCCAGATTATCAAATCACCCAAACCTGCTTGCCAGACAACTCAACCGGCTAAGCTATCATTCCCGTCTACAGCGGAATGATTTCCCATCCCTTTTTCAATAACATAAGTTAACGTAACATAGATTAAGATTTGAAAACTTATTGTTAGTCTCTTAAGTAATAGAGAAGATCCAATAAATAAGAATAAAGTAAAAAAAAAAAAAAAAAAAAAAAAAACTTGGCCACATTTGACTTTGGCTGTTTGTGGGCCTTAACAACTTTCTGCCCAATTAAGGAATTAGTTGGGAAGCTGAACGAAAAGTTTTCGAAAGCTTAAAACTTATTCAATAATTATATAAAATTATATTAAAATATATTTTGTGAATATATATATTTTATATTTTCATCATCAGTAAATATTTTTCCCTTTGATTCATATATTTTATTCTTCGTTTTTATCCAAGAAATAAAATTTAATAAGAAATATTTATTTTTTTAAGAAACATAATTCTCATGAAATTAAAAATATATCAACAGTTTATAAAAATCCTGCTTATGACAAGTAACTTGAATTCTGTCCAATTTCCCGCTGCATTTGATCGTGGGTGAACTTGATAAAAATATCGTATTGTTCCGCCATTTTTTGGGTCAACTCCAACTCGTATTCCTCCTTCAGGCGATCTTCACGTTGCTTCATCATTCCGCAGCAAATTGATTGCAATTGCTTGAAGGTGAATAGATTTGTGTTATCCTGAGCGACTAATTTTGGGGCATTAATTTCGGATATCCGGGAATCTACTTCTGAATCACTGGAATCTGTATCCAGCAGAATGGGCAAACCTTTCAAAAACTCCCTTGGGATCTCTTGGTCCTTTTCTTTAGTAATTGAATTCAATATTTTTCTTTTTTGACAATGCTTGCGTCTTCGTTTTGCTGGAGAAGTATCCGCCAAATTATCCTCTATTATAAGTGGACGTTTCAGGGATATGCAATTCATGACTGGATCCTTTTGATGTTTTTTATTCTTTAAAATATGACTGATATATTAATTGAGGTCTCTTCACTTTGATGTGGAAAAGTGAGCTGACAATATTTTGCGAAATTATATCTTACATTAGGTTACTCGCCTACTTTGTCAGCAAAAATTTGTTTAAAAATTTTATTGTATTTATTGAAGAAAACTATTTTAGTGCTTTTCTAGGGCTTTACAAAACAATTTTTTTCATTAAATTATTTTCAATAATTAATTGTTTTAATATTCATAATAAAATATAGTACATTCAGCTATCGAATTCTCATGCAGCAGCCTTCGTTGATGATATGTTTTATCTTATATTTTCCTTTAATGACCGCCCAACGCTTAAAGAAAAACCTATAAAATGACTCTATTCTTGTTTTTTATTGGTTTTTTTTTTCAAAACACAGGCAATAACAACAACAGGGACATTAGGAGTAGCTCAGGCGAGTCGTGTTAAGTAGTCCCCAGTCTTAGACAATGACGTTTACAATTTACGATGTCTTGACGCCATTTTTAAATCACTGATAATGATAATAAATTAATATACAGACGCCAGAGGCCCAGGCACACATGGGAGCAGCCCAGGCAGTAAAAGTATCCCTCCCTTCACTTCGGATCCGCTGTGATGTTGTCTGCGTACTTATTTAGCATGAAAAGTCATTTTAAAAAGTGGAGGGAAAAACATTCTTGTTTTTGCCCTGGTTTTTGATCTTCCTAGGGTTTTTGTGGTCTTTTTGCTTTATTTTCATTTGAAGGTTGGGGATGGCAGCTAAGTGTTTTTATGGCACACACTGAAAGGTTGTGAGAGTCCTTGTTTATTTTCCAGACACCTCTTAGGTGGGTCTTTAAAAATGAGTTCTTAAAGCGATGGGAAGCCGGGGAAATAAATGAGCATCGTTTGCATGGAGCTGGAGGGAACTTCTTGAAACTGCTTCGATTGTGACAACATTTGGCCAACACATGGCAACCACTCGCGCACTTTCAAATAAATAATCTTTTTGCTCATAAATTCGCAATGTGGCACGCAATGGCACAAAAGTTTTACAGCCCCATTCGTATTTCAAAGTAGACACAAACATGGCAACCGAAGGAATCGCATAAAAGATTTGTCCTGACCCTGTTTTGTTAGAAGCAGCCTTCAATTCATATTCTATGCGACTCACACATAGAAGTGAAATCCTTTTCCTTCGGCAAGTAGTTCAAAATTTTCGTGTGCCCATTTATTTTTCCGTTCGCCGGCGCTGTTTTTTCTATTTCTTGGAAGATTACACTGGGCTATACTGCATTATATATTAAGACCACGGTGAAGATTTACATGTTCATAAAATTGTTTTCATGCCCTCGTCTATAAATTAATTTTTTAGGAAATGGTATAATTGTTAAATAAATTTAGTTAATAGAATGTTTAATATGCCAATGCTTCCTTCCAAATTTTATAAAAATAAAAAGTTTTTAGTTATTTGACAAGTCTGCACAATTAAATAATGTTTGTTATTCCATCTAATAGGTTGAATTTTTTTTATTTTTGTTATTATTATGGCTTTTTGTTTTAAACATGGTTTTGTAGCACTGTGTTATTGTTGTGAGAGCAGCTCTGCTTTTTTTCCAATTCGGGTTAATGCTTTTTTCGCAGTCGTCGCGCCGGCGACAACAAGGACTCAGACTTTTCTCGGATGTCCTTTGCGAGCTGTTGCTGTTGGGGAGATTCAGCCAAGAGAAGACAAAGTTCTACCCGCAAGTTTGGTGCGCCCTTCGGTTGGGAAAAGTTGTTAAACGCTTTCAATGAGATTTTGAATGTTTTTCGTGCTGCAAATCGTATTTGCCGCAGACGCTGAATTTCTCCATGCCTCGCTATATTAACAATAATAATTTCCGCATGGGAATCAATAGACAGATATACAAATACGCATATTAGATGCTCACTTGCTCCCAATTTGTGTTTGTCTTTGTATTTTATGGATTTATGCATGACTATAAGCTGTATCTTCTATTGTAAATCTTTTGCTTCAATGAGCCTTTATTTGTTAATATTTCGTAAATATTTGCGGTACATGCCCGATGCCTAATAATATTTTACACATCCACATACATTGCGAAGTATTAAAATAAATAAATGCTGTTACGACAGTGTGGAAGGGAAAAATACTCTCAAGCGCTGCTTTAATATTTATGCATAAATTTGCTGTGGCCCCATGAGGGAAATTGCCAAATTGGTTTTTTCTAAATGTTTATGACGTCCTATATACACATTTTCGTATAATTTTTTGTGCTTTATGGAAGGAAGTCGTAGAATTCATGACTCAAACTGACTGAAAATGTCTCTGCCGCATGATTTGGCAAAAATCAAATAAGTGATTGTCTTTCGATGACTTTGTTATTGGTCTCTTACGTAAGATGGCAAAATGAAGAGGTAAATCACATCCGGATTGAAACTATCAGTGCATAAAGACCATTTTGTTTACTTAAGAATTTCTTGCCTAATTTATTTTAATATCTCTAATGAATATTTCTTGAACGTAATTTGCAAGTATGTAGGTTAATGGCGTTTGTTTAACATTTTACAGTTCGCAGAGCAACTTAATGTGAAATAATTGACACAAGGTAGAGCAACTTAATGTGAAATAATTGACACAAGGTAAATCAATCGATACTTAACTACGATTCATGATTCTGGTTTAATTACCCTTTCTGAAAGCCTTATCAATAAAATAGTTTTTTGGCAAAACTTATTCAAATATTTATATATCTACGACTTTAGCCCAAGTTCACTGACATCCATTAGCAGTTTAGCCCCTGAAGCAACTGTCTATATCTTTGCAATGCAAATGATTGCCAGTGACATGAGAACACCCCCTGAACAATACAATTAAAGACACACTTAATTAAATCAATTGGCAATTTATGTAAAATATATTCTTTTGCTCGAGCGATTAAGTACAAATATCCTTAGCTCGAGCAGAAATCCAATTAAAGTAGATGAAGGGATGGTTTATCGTTTATGTCTGGGACTTGGATTGCTACTCACAGTCATTGTGATCCTTGGCGTTGACAGTGAGGACTGTGCTCTGCAAATCGGCATTCTCATCGATTTCGGTCTCGTACAGAAATCTATCGAAATATGGCGGTGAATCGTTTTTGTCGGCAATACCAATGCGTACAAATTTTGTAACTGCAAATGAGAAAAAAGAAGGCAAGCCATGATATAGATACCATATAAATAGATTGCTTGGTTGCATGCTGTTAGTGTATGAAATGCCAATAAGCAGCATTAATTATAGCAAATTTATTGATTGACAAATTGCGCGCGTGCCTCCTTTGCGGTCGAGGAAGTCGTAAACTTGTCGGTTTATGTTCAAAACGTGGCAGGCATAAAAGATGGAAATACGCCACTCATATGCCCTACTTAACTATACACCGAAAATAAAATCAAGATTGAAATTATATTCGATATTTTAAAAAACAATTACCACTATTAAAAATATAAATAGAATGATATAAAAGAAATACCACATACAAAATTTAGGATTAAAATCAGAGATATTTTATAAAAAAGCACACATTGGTTAGAGTTTTTTTTAGAGTGCACAAATTCTTGAAATCCGAAATTTCTCAGCCCGTTAAGTAAATTGTTAACAAGGTCCCTGCTAAACCAGACAAAGCCTCCACTCAAATAGACCCAACTATAAGAATATGCAACGCAACTGGAAGTCAACAGAAATCACAAAACAATCTACTCAAAGTGAAAAGTTTGTGTCCCCCTTTTCCAGTCGAAAGCAAATAAGTTTTCACAAAGTGCACAGCGAATTTAAGGTTTTCCCTTCTCTCTCTCTTTTCGGAAACTGCAGCGACATTTGTTTGCCTCGCTTTATTTGCTTATTTCCTGCTAATGTCTTGCCAAACAAAACTTTCTGGATAGTTGTGTAGTTTAGTTTTCGAAACGGGAACGTGCGTTAATGAGTTTTATTCGAGCAGGGGAGCTCGAGGCGAATACGAAAGGAATTGTACTTAACAAATGAGCGTGGATTTTTACAGTCCCCCAGAGAAAGTTTGCTAACTTTGGTAAGCTTTTACAATTGTTTTCCAAAAAAAAAATATGAAATCCCCCAATCGGGGTATAATTATAGAAATCTTTCAAGGCTCTTAAGTTTTCCCTTAATAATTAAGTACCATTCCATATGACTGCCTGAATATTTTAAATAAACGTCTTTTGTCAACGAAACTAACAAAGTGTTTTAAGCGTTCAATTTTCCCTAGAGAGCCTGAGGATGACTTGAAAGGTCCTTAGCCTTGTTTTTTGTATCGGTTCCCACATGACGGAAGCAATAATCTGTTTTCACAAAAAACACAAAAAGCTTGCACAACTTGGGCATAAATATAAGAAAGATAAAATGTATATTTTCAACAAGAATAAATGTCCTTTAACAACCAGTGCAAAGTAACCGGGGCTGGCAGTCACACATCATAAAAGAGCAGAGCTGCAGGGTGGGAAAGGAAGAATTAATTTTGCCAGCAGGCTCTCGTTGCGTATGCGTAATATTGAAAACACGACAGTTGCTAGGGCAATCCTTTCGGCTGCAAAAGTGTGCTATTAAATGCACTCCCATTTCCATATTCTATAATCGCTTTTAAAGCTGCTTTAAAAATACTTGCTGTCTAGCCAAGAAATATGTTTCTGCAGTATTTCGTAAAATGCCATTTATTTATCATTTCTGTAAACAAAATGCAGAAAGATATGTTTACCTTATTTTGACCAGTTCCTTTTCTCTCATTTTCTCAATTATTTGGTAGATTACATAAATTGAAAATACAATTTTTGGTAGCCAAGCGTAAGTGTTGAGCAAACTTTCGATATTTGACTTGGGTAAACACTGCCAAATGCATTGCATAATCTATAAAACTGTTTTTATCTGTTTTAGCTTTGCTTGCTTTGTTTGTGGCGTAATTGAATTTTGTCAAAAGTTGAAGGCAAAGAAAAGTTTCAGAAACTAATTAAATGTTCGACCGAATAGAAGAAATTTAATGTGCTCTTGC